GGGTCACCACATTTAAGGCAATGGTCGGCAACTTTTCTATCTTGCCAAAGTTTTTCTGTAATCCCCAATTTCTTCCAAGGTTCCCCTTCGGGTAGACCTGGATGAGGTGGATGTGGCTTATCCCAGTTGTTATACCAAGTGCCTCGTCCTCTACCCCAAGTGGAGTTGAAACCTCGGCCACCTTGCGAGGGACCATTGCCCCTTCCTCCCACGTAGTAGCTACCTTCGCCACCACCCCTCTGGGTACCGGGTCCTCTTCCTCCACGTCCGCGGCCTCCTCTTCCTCGACCACGTCCTCTGCCTTGTCGCCCTCCCCCGCGGGCTGCAACGGCCGCGTACTCCCCCTCCTGAACTACCGTGCCGTTGGGTCCTCCCTCCAGACCATAATCTATCTGTTCATAGGAGAGAGTCTCGACACCTCCTTCTTCTAAAGTAAGAAGGAGATTGTCTTTCCCAGGTATGTTCCCTGAGATAGTGCAGTTCTGCCACTTCTTACCTGCTTGCACATCTTTCCAATAATGGCAGTAGTTAGCTTCAGCTAAGAAGCCAGCATGATCTATGGCAGAATTTTTCATATGTCATCCCCTCCTCCTTGGTACGGGGATATAACTGAGTATGGAGAGGGTCGGGCAGTGCCCTAGCGAAATTATTGAGAATTTGAGTAGGAGTGAGTCCATGTTCAGCGCATTGTAGGAGTTCATCCATCGTTGCTTTGAGTGCAGACACACTCTTCCATTTTCGATCCGCAATGTTTAATATCAACATTTTTGTTCTACGTGCCAAATTTTTATCCTCAAATCTTTCTCTGACAACTTTGTAGAAATCTTCAATTCTCGTTTGCTATGAGTATTCAATCATAGTTTGGCAGTTAGCTTCTTTTTGCAACGATATGGCGAAGCTCATTGCGTCGCCGACCATACACGAAGTGGCCATCAAGACTCTGTCCCAATACGGAATGCGCTGTCCGTATACATAAGACTCTACGGCAGCAATCCAATGTAAGACACTCTCCTCGTTCTTGCCTGTGTAAGTCCACGACACTTTGACTTTAATTTTTCTCACATCCCCACTTTCTTCTCGTTGCACTCCCTTTCCTTTTTTGTCTCCATCTCCCCCATCTCCGCCTCCATCTCCTCCTCCTCCTCCGTTGCCGCGAATTATCTTTTCAATTACGGCGGGAGTGAAGGTTTGATTAATGTGATCATCTAATTTCTGAATATATGACTGCACATGTTGATCAACACCCTTTGCGGACTTTTGCAGGAAGGTATTCCAGATTCCCTCAAATTCGTATTGGTGGGTCTCAACTTTCTGCAATGTTTTGTTCATTATTGCTAATTCTTGCTTTGTATGGAGGACCGTTTCTGTCAGGAGGGCAAGTTGTTCTTCGGTTGCTATTTGCTTGTCTTTCTGGCTTTGCAACTCTTTTTGCAACCTCTCATCCACTGCCTGCAGTTTTTTTCTGTCTTCAAGCTCTTGTCGCTTTGCAGCCAACATTTTACTATGCAATTCAGTTCGTTTTTCCTCCAGCAAGAGTTATTTTTCCCTTTGGTCTTCAATGGACGCAAGTTTTGCAATGAACGTATCTCTGTCCTCCTCCGTCTCTTCAATCTGATCACTGGAGTATGCATACTTATCATACCAATCCAGCAGTTTAACTTGAAGTCCTCCACCTGTTTGGCTACTTTCCCCCATGTCTGTCCGTCGCCGGATGAGCCTGTCATTAGCAGGTTCAACTTCTTCTTCTATAGTCTTTAGTTCCTCCTTCAACTCCTTTTCTAACTTTTCTTTCATTTCCTTTTTCATTCTTCCCTCTTCCATCTGCACTTTCTTCTTTATTTCTTCTTCTTTTTGTCTCTTTCTTTCTTCTTTCTCTTTCTTCTTCTCGGCTTGCCGGCGTTCTACTTCAGCCTGGTCTGCAGCCGAGGGCCCTGGCTTCACAGTGTCGGATCTCATCATCATACGGGAGGTGCATATCCTCCCGAAGCCCAGGGGAAAGAAGACTCTGAACAATGGGCCCAACAAAACTGAGAGGGCCAGTAAGCCTTGCATAGGGTAATCATCCATGATGGAACACAGCGCAGGTACCCCTCCACTGGCCCCACCAAGTAGGTACCCCACTGATTTTCCTTTGTTTAATCTTACGTGAATGGGATTCTGCTCTGTTTTTTTTTTTTTCAAACTCTGGATATCGCTGCTTTAGGAATAACGCATTTCAGAGAATATCAATATACAATAGGTCCTTTTTTTTTTTTTTTTTACTCGCTGTCTGTGTCTCACTCGATTACCACCTATCTCTCTCTCCTTTTGGTCTGGCTTTGTCTTTTTTTTGTTTTGTTTTCCTTTGATTAACTCTTGTTTGTCTGTCCTCCTGCGCAGGGAGTAGCTGGAGTGTTCTCTATGTCAGATGCCCTGGACGATAATTCAATCACAGATCATTTCTTCCCAGTTCGACTATACCTTATATCTTACTTGCAACTTGACGTGACAATCTGCTACAACCCCCAGCTTTCTCCCATCTTTACTAACTCCTATAGCGCAGATGTCAGGACGACAGGACCAGACAAGGACTCTGACCAGCTCTCAACTCTGACGTGCCCAGACACTTGAGTCCTGACCTTCAGACCAGACCAGACCAGACCGAGTGTAGACCAGACAGCAGCAGCGACCACCAGAGATGAGGGGAAGCAGAGGTACTCGACACACACTCGGAGCCAGGTAAGGGGTAAGAAGTTCTTCTCTCTTCTGAAGTCGTCGATGAAGTCTCCTCGATCGCTCCATGCTCTACGCGCAGGTAAGATCTCCTCCTTAGCCCCTTCCACTTCGGCTTTCTACTCCCTCCTAATCCCAACCACCTCTCTTCTCACACTTCCACCATAGCCAGCATCTTCAAGCCAGCATATCCTCCTCACCGGCCTTACTCATGCCAGCACTTCAGTAAGCGCAACAAGTTACTGCTCCGATACCAAATTCCAAGGAACCTGACTGTTCATAGCTTGCTGGAGTGTATCTCATTGCGTGCATAGATGTCATCATACAGATAGAGAAACTTCACACGAAGCCAAATCGAGATGAGACGAGAACCAGATAGCGCAGCTCATATTATCACAACAACATCATACAAGAGTATCTCGAATCCAAGAGTTCAGCGCCAACAGAGTACAAGTCTCTTTCGTTCCATTCTCGATATAGGGCCTGGCTCAGCCAGCGTCTGCCCTCAGATCACAGGTATGGCGCCAACAGGTAAGTATCCACCATATCCAACTCCTTAACCTGTCTTCTCTCTCTCTCCCTCACGAGATCCCTGTCTTGGTTCCCTTGTCTCACTTTGCATGCTCACTCCCTACTTATGAGGATCTACTCTGAATGCTACTCACTGATGTCGACTACTAACTCCTCTGCTTCTACTAATAATGCTGGCGCAGCTATGGCTGCTTCTGCCAGTCAGCGCCCAGCCTCTTCTTCCTCTGCTTGCGCAGCTTCCAGCCAGTGCATTCTCCCTGCATGCTAGCGCACAAGTGCTTCAGCACTTCCACGCATCAATGCCAGTGGAGATCTGTTGTGTGGGAAGGCTGGCCTGGTCTCTTATAGTGCTGGCCTCCCTTCGCGAGGTTTGAATCAGTCTTCCTTGGGTCTTTCCCCAGCCCAAGACCACTGCAGAATGTGTCCCAGTATCTTTCCCTCAGGGTCTGCTGCTGCGGCGGCCTTTAGGCCTGAATTTTGGACTTTTGGTCTGAATCTGGACTGTCTATTGGACTTTGACTTGGACTGGGACTCTACCCCATTGACCACCGTTCGAACAGACACAACTTCTGCACAAACAGACACATCTACTACACGAACAGACATGACTTGCACAGCCCCCTGGACGAACATACGTGACTCTCACAATTGAATGCTGCAACTGTTCGTCCTGGGGCACGACTGTGACCTTTGACACAGCTCCTCACTTCAGTTAGGATGTGACTTTTGACCCAGAGAACATGTCTTTTGATCTGCTTTTCACGGATTGAGTTCTGGCCGAGTGGGCCCCATTATGCTGCGTTCGTCATTCAGGGTCTGAACGGGTAAAGGCCCTTTTAGGCATCACTTTTCACTTTTTTTCCCTTTTTTCTTCCCCTGAGTTCTGAACTTCTGATGGAAGGTGACAGCTGAGGTGCAAGAAGAGTTACACCTAGAGAGGAAGCTTGTATGATGGACGAAGGGTCTGAAGGGACACGCATGCCAGCACACACAGAGGGAGGGAGAAAAAGTGATGTCGTGTATTTTGCATATGCGAGCTAAGATCAACTGGCATAGAAGATGATGACCGGACGGTGAAGATTGTAAACCAGCATAGCTCTGACTGTTGTCAAAAAACAATGCAGGTGAAAGTAGGAATGGTCTGTATGATCAGAACTCTGCGCATTATTCGAGAAGGAAGGGGTCGGCGTCATCAGGCAAACTGAGCAAGATACGCAGATGGATTTGGTCAAAGGATTTGGATCCACATCAGTCCTCTTGAAGAGCTCCTCCTCCCCCTCCTCTGAAGGTGGTGTTTGGGTGATTAGGGAGCGGGGTGCCAGACTATTCTGGTTATCCTTGTGAGGTACTGTGCAGAATTTCGATGCGAAGTGAGGGAGCGTTCAAAGAAGCGGAAGCACATCGGATAAAGTCTGTGATGCATGAGGGCGAGGAAACGGCCTCTTCTCAAAGCAGTTGGCTGCGAGTACGAAGGTCGCTGAGAAAACGTTTGGATTCAAAGCAACGAGGCAGGGGCAGCCATTGAGTATGTGGGTGTCAGTTGCCAGTATGCTGAGATTCATTCTACTGACTCATGATGTTTCGGTAATCCCGAGTCTGCGGCTCTGCGAAAGCAGAATCGGCTCGCTGCCATTAGTGCCTAGGGTGTCTTCTGTCGGTGGCATCAGACTCTGCAATCCTCTTCATGCGTGTCAAAGGTGATGTTATCAGGGTTGTGAGTCCCTTGGCCTTTTGACCAATTCGCAATGTGTCTGCAGGGCCGAGGAAAATGACACAAGGAAGAGGGGAGCTGGAAGCGCAGCAGGGGCCTGATGGCCCCACGTGGAGGAAGCTTTGTGTGGTACACAATAAGAGCACTGCGCAGAGCAAGAGCAAGATGGGTGATATGCCTTGCATGGTGGCTCTATTTTATGGAGGGAGGAGACGGCTTATAACTGGCTTGCCACAAAAGCAATGGCGGATACTTAGTCTCCGAGCTTCTGTGGTCAAGGAGATTATCTGAGCTTCTGTGGTCAAAAGAGAGGGAAGAGGAGAGGGAGGAGACGGAGGAGATTCTCTGAGCTTCTGTGGTAAGAAGGGAGGGTGGAAGATGGAGCTGAGGAGGGAAGAGGAGAGGAAGGAGAGGGAGGAGATTATCTGAGCTTCTGTGGTCAAAAGGGAGGGCGGAGATGGAGCTGAGAAGGAGGGGAGGGGAGAGGAGAGGGAGGACAGGGAGTGGAGGGAGTGGAGGGAGGAGAGAGAGGAGGGAGGAGGAGGGTTGAGGAGAGGGAGAAAAGAGTCATCACAGTAAGCTGGTGCTTTTGCCAACGAGAGCTTTGCCCACCTGTTAGTGTTCTAAACTTGGTCTGCGAGGTATAGGTGGCCGGGTCCATGAGGTATAGGTGGCGGGCATGACAGCACCTGGTCCAAAGGATGGCAAAAATATGGATGGGGGGCATGTATGAAACTGATGTACATCAGGCAGCATGTCAGCAGTGCATGGTGGTGGATATGCTGCAACTGCCCAAGTCAGGAGTGTTTGTTTTTTTTGTTGTGCTGAGAAGTCTCTGAAGCTTCTTAGTATTGACGAATCCCATTGGTTGGAGATAGATTATACTCGGAGCAGCTTTGAAAATATAGTTTCATGGTGATGATTAAATGAAAAGAGAGTTCCGTGGAATGAGTTCCTGGCTCCCACTGGGGTTCCTCCGTGCTGTGCATTATTAGTATGTATTCTGTATCTCTAGATGTTTCCATTTTGCTGTTTCCTTCTTAGGAAGGAGCACCGGATGTTACCCTCTCCTCCCTGAAAGTGAGCAGCTGGGCTGTTGGACTGTCAAGGCTGGCTTCGTTTGTTGGAGTGCTAGGAGTCAGTCTATAGCCACTTCGGGGGGCTGCTCTTATCACCTCCCTAAGTGGTATCCTACTATCCATGACTCGAAGTTAGGAAAAAAAAAAGAAGAAGAAGAAGAAGAAGAAGAAGAAGAAGAAGAAGAAAAGAAAAGAAAAGGAGTCAGTTTAAACTTTATAGCAAGCAACATCCTGAGATATGGTGTTGATCTTCTTTAGCCTTAACTTGTTAGTAGTTATTACAAATATTATTTGTTTGTAATTCTCCTTCAGAAGTTAGCGCAGGGAAGGGGTGGACGGCAGGAGCAAAGCAAAGCGTCTTCATGGTGATATGGATACGGGTACGAATATGGATACGGATACGGGTACTGAGATGGAGGTCAAGATGAAGATGGAGATGTCAATTGAGATCTAAGGTGTCATTATTCTTTGTTCATTGTACTTGGAGAGAAGAGGGTGGGTGGGAATGGAGAGAGTCTGGCTTCAGTTTCTTAAGTTGTTGCAGATGGAACTGGTTGTAGTCAGGCTGTCATTGGTCCTCATGAGGCAAAAAGAAAACATTTTGAGAGTCCATAGCCACACTTCTGTTGTTTGGATGTCCTCTATTTTCTACCTGCAATATGAACTGGAGCTTGTGCAGACATGTTGTCATGTGTGTGTGTGTGTGTGCGCGTGAGTGTGTGTGCATGTTTACATGCTTCTGTATGTTTGGATGCAGTGTGTGGTGGTCTGTGTGCGCATCCATATAAGTGTGTGTGTGTGCGTTTGTGTGTGTGTGTGTGTGTCTGTGTGT